CCGTTTGTAATGTATAATATATCAAATTGAAGCTATGAATGAGCTGAATCTTTTTGTCTTAATAAGCAGAAGCAATTAACTTAGTAAAATTTTGAGCTTTCTTAAGAAAAGCAAAAAAATTAAATTTAGCTATATCTCTGCAACAAAGAGCTTTAGAGATATAAAACTAGACCACCTATATGTAAAATTTTGTTAAGAACAATTTTACTTAGGCAGCCAAAATGTGTTTACTTAATAAAATATTGAGAAAAGTGCAATTGTTTTTAGAGAAAACTTGGTATAAGTGATCATCGGGAAGAGTTAGTGATTTGCGTCCAATATACAATTTTTTTATAATATTTTTATTATATAACTAATTTATTATATATATATAATATTAATAGAAAATTACTACAATTTACAGCCTGTGAAATTTACAGGTCTGTATTTAGCCAATCAAATTTACTATGGTTTACTTCAAAAAAGTTTTCTATTTAAGTTAGAGTTGGGTTAAAGTTATAATAAATAATGAATTTTATAGTAAAATTTAGCAAGAAATTTTTTATTTATAATACCAAAGGTGGTTTCTTAAGCTAAATTTTGTGTTATAAGTAATTTTTTATTTTTTTTTGAAAAAAAACTTTGTTTTTGTTATACAAAAAAATTTGCAGATTGCACAATTCTGCAATTTTGATTGGTTAGATGCAGGGTTGTGAATTTAACAGCCTGTTAAGATTAGCAATTCTTATATTAATATATTAAAAATATTTAGCAAAATTAAAAGATTCTGCAAAAATAATATAACTAAACTATTACTGAACTCACATATTGCTAAATTCAGTTGTAAACACTCATGTTTGTATTTTTTATCTGCACAATAGCATACTCAAAAATGGCAAGATTGTTTATCTACTATAAAGAGGCGAACTTGAGGGACACTCTTGAATAGAGGCATTACAATTTGGCAAGTATATTTTTATTCCCTACTTTACTGTTTGTTACTAACACTAAACTAATACTATTACTAACAACAACTTTACTTATTAAATTACAGTTTTAATATTATGATCTTGGGCCCTTCTCAGGCACACTATATAATTCTTGATCTCTTTAGATAAGTATTATTTACATTTTTCATGCACTTTTTATATTACTAGCTCTCACTAAAATTTATTTATTTATTTTATTATTTTTTTTTTCACCATCCAATTGTTCATTCTGTTGCCACTCTAAAATCTCATTGTCATGTATTTGATTTATACCTGATTTGGTGCATATGCCTTGTTAATTACTTTTGATCGTGGGCAAATACATGCATGCATTTGAACTAGTTTTCGGGGTACAATCATCAATCGGGGCACCATTGATCATATTCATTTTAGTCACAACTCATTTTTGCTTGTAACATTTCTCTGGTGCTTATCATATGTGTACCATATATATTAGTCACTAGGTGTTAATTTGATTGACTCAGCAATTGGAGCTTCAAATAAAAGGGTCATTGAGTGGCTTAAAATTGGTCAGTTCTTTTAGTCATTTGCTTCTTGAGTTTGTTTGAACAACGGGTAGATTTTTTTTTTTTTTCCCCCTTGCATCATTATTCTACAGCTTAATACCTTCACTTGGTTAATGCTTATTGTTGTAGGGTTCAGGAGAGAGTGTATAAACAATTAGCACAATTAGAAAAATGCAAAATATATATATTTTTTTTTTTGTTATTCTAATGCTAGTTGTTTAAGTTACTAGGATACAAAAAATAAGCTAATTAATAAAATTCTTCCACCAAATCGAATCCTTGATTGCTTATCCATTATAGTAATAAGTGAGAAATTGCTTTTCTTATAAGTGTTTTAACTAAACTTTGGTATGGGGTGTTTGTTCTTCTTGATTCCAATTTCTTTTTTATAACAAGGTCCAAGTTTATGTTGTCTATCTGAATTACTACCTCTGCAGAATTTAAATATTGTTCAAATACTTTTCGTCTATTCTTTGCAGACCTTCTATTATCAATTCCATATTTATAGCAGTATTTGCTATAATATGTTCTATCATTATGTTTCATCTCAGCAGAGTTTTGGTAATGGATAAGTGCCTTGTGCATGTCCTTTACAGCTTCGATAACCTTTTCCGCTGATTTTTGATATTGGATAAGCACCTTATACCTATTCTTTTCAACTTCAATTCCATTTTGATGGCAGGGTTTAAATTTACATTTTTCAGATACATTATCTATCCTTGCAAATTCTTTATAGTGAATAAGTGTTTTGCATTTGATCTTCTTAACATCAACTCCATTAACCTTACTTTTGTTCATTTCAGCTCTGCTTTCATCTTGGTTGCAATGTTCTGATTCACATATTTTTCTTCCAGAGACTTTTTTATCAGTTTCATTACCACTTTCAGATTTAATATCTTTGTAACTATCAGGTTCAAAGTTTTTTAGCTCATACAGGTAGGTTGCATATTCATTACTCTTTTCATTTTATGATAATATCAGTCTTTGAATACTCTTTCAGAATTATCTATTTTAGCTGCTTTTGATAATACGTAGATGTTTTATATTTATTCTTTTTGGTTCTAATTCCTTTTTTATAGCAAAGATCAAAGATATATATTTTATTGGCACCCTTCATCTCAGCATATTTTTGATAATGAGTTAATGCTAGGTGGGTGTCCTCTGTTTTATGTTTTTAAACTTTACTTTCATTATACTTATCCTTTTCGACTTTATGCTTTTTATCCACTAATTCTTCATCAAAGTAACTATTGATTAAGTCTAGGATTAGGTTATTGAATTTTGGTTTATATGATCTGTTATTCATTTTTTTAGTAATAGTATTATGCTTTTCTTCTTCGTCATACTTGTAGTCAGATTCAATCGTTACATTTATATAGCTCATTTTTGTGGATATTTAATCACAACAGAGTGCCATATAGTTATCTATTTTGACTTCAATTCTGTTTTGATTATGTTGCTCAAAGTCATCAGCTTCATTCTTATCATTGTTATCATATTTAAAGCTTTTCAACCAATTTATTTCATATTGATAACCCTTTTGTTTTCCATTTTCATGCCGAAGCAATATCTAAGATCATATGTCTAATATTATATTTTGTCTCATTTTTGCCAGCTTCGTTATTACTTGCATTCATTTCATTGTTATCATTAGGTTTAAGATCTTTAGTACCATCTAAATAGGTTTTATATTCATACATTATTTTCATTTTCATAGTAATTACTAACCGTAAAAATCCCTTTTGAATTACTCATCTTGGGAGATTTTTGGTGACTGATGAATGCATTATATTCGTCTTTTTTAGCTCTAATTTCATATTGATAACTGTATCCAAGGTTGTTCGTTGCATTATCAGCTTGTTTCATCTCTGCTGATTTTTGATAATTAATGAATACCTAATGTGCATCCTTTTCAACTTCAGTTTCCCATTCATAATAGAGGTCAAGAGTATATGATCTATCAGTTTGGGTTATCACAGCACCTTCTTGATATTGGTCAGGTGTCTTATATTTATTCTTTTCAATGTTATTTCTGGTTTCATATCTTAATTCAGGGACCCAGATTTTAAGATTTCAAGGTAATTATCGACCAGGTGCTCTATTGTGATTTCAAGATCAGTATCATTAATTTCAGCTGATTTTTCTGAAGTTAAATAGATGTCAAAAGCCTCAGTTATGAATACATCGTATTGAGGCTTTGTGAGCAATCATTTGTAGCAAGTACTACTAGAAGAGAGTCTCTTTTTTTCATCATAGTACTAGTTAGATATACAAAGTAAGTAAATAATTTCTTCAATTTCTTCTACTATATTTTCATCTTTTAATATATTTTCTATATATATTAATGTAAGCTCCAAAACCTCTGAAATTTCCTCAGTATCGAGATTATAACTGAAATTATTATTCATCCATTCTTAAACTTTTTTAAGTTGTTCTGAGAAAAGCATTTTAAGAATTTAGTATACTTTTCATCCAGCAGAGCATTTACTGACAATGTAGATTTTCATTGCAATAAGAACACAAAGTTTTTTGATGGGTTCTTTGAATTAATACAACATTGCGTGAGGCTTGCCAATGTTGACTTTTTACTTTTCTTATTTTCGTCTCTTGATAAGTTCTATACATATTTTTATTTATTTATTTATTTATTTATTTATTTATTTATTTATTTATTTATTTATTTATTTATTTATTTATTTATCAATTACTAATACAAGTATATATTGATTCTTATACTATATCACTTTTAACTCACTTTTGCTTCTTTAAACTATTTAAATTGTTCTAAAATTACATAATTGGTATTTTGAGCTTGTTTTACTATTCCTTAATTTATTAACTTTAATACAACAAAAAAAAATTTTTTTTTAAATTTTTTTAATTGTTCTGCACTGAATAACAGGCCGGAAAAGTATTTACTTTTACTTTCTTCTTTTGAGTTTCTGTTATTGTAACTTTGTTCTAATAGTTTTTTTTTTTTTTATCACTTAAACTTTGACTTTAGTGTTTTCTTTATACTTCGACTTTGAATTTTCTTTATACCTCAGCTTTGGCTTTTCCTTATTCTTTGGCTTTGGCTTTTCCTTATATGTTCTTTAGATACAGTACATCTGTTAAGGTGATCAAACCAGAATTGTCAGATATTTTTTTATAGTACTTCGGACTCGGTATATTGGTCCAGATGACTCAACCTTTATGCTGCTTATTAATGTTCTATCTTACAGTCAAAGAGACAAACTTGGGTGGCACTCTCAAATAGAGGTGTTACATTTAGCGAGTATATTTTTATTTCTACTTTACTGTTTGTTACTAACACTAAACTAATACTATCACTAACAACCACTTTGGTTGATCTTTAGTATAGGTGGGCATATATAATTATTATACAATTATAACATATATAAGTTAATTATTTTAAACTAATTTAAGTAATTTTATAAATTATTAGGGTTAGAATTAAGGTTAGGATTTAAATTAGCTCAAATTAGTTAAGTTTTATATATTATAATCTTGTAATAATTTATATATACCCACCTATACTAAAGAAGATCTCTTTTTAAATAAGCATTATTTACATTTTTTATATGCTTTTTATATTACTAGCTCTCGCTAAAATTTTTTTTTCATCATCCAATTGTTCATTCTGTCATCACTCTGAAACCTCATTGTTATGCATTCAATTTATACCCGATTTGATGCATACACCTTATCAATTACTTTCGATCATAGGCAAATGCATGCATGCATTCAAACTAGTTTTTGAGATACAATCATCAATCAGAGCACCATCGATCACATTTATTTTAGTCACAACTCATTTTTGCCTGTGACACTACTTCTATACTTATTTCATCTGAAAAATGATATGCCTCCAATAGTAAGTGTTCTTGTTTATATGTTCTTTATATATCTGTCTATATTGTCTTGTAACAAAAAGATTTCAAGACAGCAGCACAAAAATGAAGCCCAGCATTGTGCAAAGTTCTAGTTACAATTTATATACTGCATTAAAGGTTTAAATTTTTTACAATTTTGAGCAAAGGCATATATCTTTCCTTCAATATTTTTTTACTATAGAAGTTATTTCTCACTTCTTTAGGCTGAGAAATGTCTAGACTAAGGTAAATTGCAATTTTTTGGTCCTTTTATTCTAAACTAAGAACCTTTGAATTGTTATTGAGGCACAACCAAGCTTTTTGACAATTTGCTCTATACTTATAGTCTTGATATAAGCAAGAATCATTTCTTTCTCTTTATTAGCTATTATTTTGCATAGCAATTCATAAAATTTTTTTTTGTTTTGAGTTTGTTGTTTTAATATAAAGAAAGTAAAAAATAAAAAAAAATTGTACCAAAATACAAAAGTATAGGATATGCATAGCCCCTTTATTTGCTTATATGTAATAATCTGCAAATTGGATATTGCTTTTATTAGCTACTATACAAATAAATTAAAATGAAATATGTACCTAGTAAATAGCAATCAAGTTGCATTAGATAATCTATTGGCAGCAGAAGAGGTATAGCATAGTATAGACTAGTGTTTTCTGTCTATACAACACAGGCTAGTTAACAAACAAAATAAGCAGTTGCTATGAAAATGGCAGGATTTGAACCATTCCAAAGATATAAAAGAAACCAGTCATTTTTGTGATAATATACAGTAGTATGCTTAAAAAGATTAGATAGTTGTAAGTGTAGTATTTATTATATATATATAGTTAGATATATATATATATATAACACTCTTTCTGCTTATCATCTGTACACAAAATTTCGTCACAATAATTTTCACGTTTTTCTCAATTTACGGAAAATTTTATTAAGTTAACAACCTCTTGTCTCTTAATAACATTTGTTCAGCTACTGTTTTTACATATATTTGTAAAGTTTCAAGTCTGTATCTCTCATCGTTCTTGAG